GGTGTATATCAGTATGTAGTGTCTCTACTTTAAAGAGTCCTCTCCTGCTGATGTTCAGGTGTATATCAGTATGTAGTGCCTCTACATGTCTCCGTGCTTTAATGTTCAAAAAGCTCTTTATTTTTCTCATACTGCCTGTGCTGCAGCACCTCTTTTCACCCTCTGTCTGAAACCAGAGGCCAGTCTGCTCCGATTGGTTAGCTGGCTGGCTCTGTTGTGATTGGTCAGCCACTTAGAGATGTCCCGCCCCTTATCCTATCACGTACAATGTTTTGGATTGCTAGCCAATACAACACAGGGATTTTAGCCTCTGCAGACTATTTACATGCACTAAAACCTATATAACACACCACAGGAAAGGGCCTCTTTAACTTCTGTTGTCCCCGACTCCACCTGGTGTTTTTAAGAGGAAATAATTGGGCAGGGTGTGGCCACAAAATCCAGTCGCTCAAGTGGGTGGTTGAGAATTATAAGCCTTTGGTAAATACGAGCTAATACAAACACTAAGTAGACCATCCATTCCTATTTTTGCGTTGGTGTGTTTTTACATGTGTTATCTCCCATTGATTAATGGGCTTAACCATTCAGTTCAGAGACAGGCGTTTTCCATTTTTTGCTTCTGTTTGGCAGTTTTAGAGATATATAGTGATATATAACAAGTAGCTAACAAAACAGATATGAGTATGAATATGTTCCAGGAATTAATGAGACAGATAAATACATTATTGTGATTCGGGAGGTGAAAAAGGTCTATTTTTTTGCCTTTAAGCTTTGTGCTATACAATCTGTCAACACATGGTTTCACAAGCAACTTAAGCTTCAATATAAATGCAATAATGGTTAATAAAACAATCTGGATCTTGTGCTCACAGTGCTACATCTAATCTAAACAAACATCTGGTTTCCTCATAAAAAGTCAAGTAAAAAGGTTATTTTCAAAAGGGAGGAATGTACATTAACTCACACAATGGTGAACAGGAAGCAATAAAATATATGTAAGATTTAATTGACAATTCTTTGGGTGAAGTAAGTTGAAAGTTGTTTGCAGATGTGCATTTTCTCCAAGGTTCGTGCATACATGTTCACACATTCACCGAAGTTGAAGCCAATTTTTTTTCACGCAAGAAAAGAAGATGAATGCTGTGCACTTTTGTTTTAAGGGAACTTCCTTTTAAAGAGACAAGGCCATTCACCTGCAGGGGATATCCCCACATTATTGTTGATCTTCCTCTGAACATCTACTCTCGTAATTGGTGGGATATTTTGCAGTGGACCACAGACTGACTGATTAGCGGTAGCATCCTTTAAGTGACGCTAAAAGTCAATAAATAGTGGAGAGAAACTAAGAAAAACTCAATTTTGTAGATAAAAAGTTAGAGCATACCGTCTAAGATGGGCCTGACAAGTGTTTACTCACTTATGTAATAAAAGATGCAAAAAAAAGGTATGTTTAAGTTGTTTTCTATTTTAAGTGGCAAAGTCTATGGAGGAAAAACCCATTCATCATGCTCAGTGTGTTTCAGGGTGTGTTCCTCTGGAGTGGTCCAACTGTAAAACATTCATAAAGCAGCGGGCACTGCCAATCTGAATTATGATTAATGATGTTTTTTTCTAATTCTCACACTTATATCAAGTGCGTATCGTTCTATATTTGTGTTTCCTGCAGGCGGAGCGTCACAGATTGAGAGATTAAAAACACATCCAGCGTTTTCACACCAAAGAGGAACCATTAATCAAACAAAGAGGATGGCAGGGAGGGTGTTGGTTCTTCTAAATAGAATCAGAATACTGAAATGATCCCACATGGAAAGGAGTGGTGCAGGGATGACGTATTTTTGTAGGCCAACTCGGAAGTTAGCATCTCAGGTTCCCTTGACTAATTAAGCAAATGGGATTTTTACATTGGAATTTGGGTAATTCAATAATCTCTGTGGCAAACAAACGTTTATGATACTTGCACGTTTTGTTCAGCAGGAAAGTCTCCACATATTAACACCACTTTCAAAATATTTGAAGTGTAAATGCAATCTCCTGAAGTAAAGAGCTAATGTTGGGCTATAAAGGAACTACAGCACGGTCACATGACTTCACGTCAAAACCGCTAAGCTAAAGGCGGCTAATGTTCGGCATGATGACGTTTAGTAGTCTCTTAAAGTGCTGTAGGAGAAATGAGCCCTAAAGCTGGTCATTAGTTAGCATTTTAGCACTTCCTGTTCCCTTGTCTCAGTCAAGATTTTTCTGAATGTGTGTTTGGTTGTTAGCCTGAAATAAGATCTGTGGTTAACACAAGCTGAAGAGATGCACGTTGTATTCTAAGACATAAAATACACTGCTAACAAGTGTCTAAATGAGACGACTAAACGCCATCACGCCCAACATTAGCCGCCTTTAGCTTAGCGGTGGTGACGTGAAGTCATGTGACTGTGCTGTAGTTGCTTTATAGCCCAACATTAGCCGCCTTTAGCTTAGCGGTGGTGACGTGAAGTCATGTGACCGTGCTGTAGTTCCTTTATAGCCCAACATTAGCAACCTTTAGCTTAGCGGTGGTGACGTGAAGTCATGTGACCGTGCTGTAGTTGCTTTATAGCCCAACATTAGCAACCTTTAGCTTAGCGGTGGTGACGTGAAGTCATGTGACCGTGCTGTAGTTGCTTTATAGCCCAACATTAGCAACCTTTAGCTTAGCGGTGGTGACGTGAAGTCATGTGACCGTGCTGTAGTTCCTTTATAGCCCAACATTAGCAACCTTTAGCTTAGCGGTGGTGACGTGAAGTCATGTGACCGTGCTGTAGTTGCTTTATAGCCCAACATTAGCAACCTTTAGCTTAGCGGTGGTGACGTGAAGTCATGTGACCGTGCTGTAGTTGCTTTATAGCCCAACATTAGCAACCTTTAGCTTAGCGGTGGTGACGTGTGTGGAGTCTATTTTTATATAACATTAGAAAGACTGATTCTTATTATTACATTATTTGCTTATTGTGCTCATTTTATGTTGCTATGACTTTGGAATAAATAGACAAAATCACCAATCCCAAGGTTTGATGGATTGGATAGAAAACGAAGGGAAAAGTCACAGAAGGAAGTTTTCAGCTTGCAATACTAATGTAGCAGAGCCAGGTGCAGACGCTGTAAGAAGACAGTCAGTTACTGAGACTCTGACCTTGGCCGTGTGGGTGAGCTTCGCACCCACGCATAGCTAGGAAGCAGCATTATGAAAGTTTCCCACTATATCTGTAGAAACGTTAGCGAAAACAAATGACTAGAATAGAGACAGAGTAGGGAGGGACTTCGCCAGCTGGCCGAATGCTGATTGGGAGGATCGTGTTGCCAAGAGACTCTGTCTGAGTCTGTGCACCTACCAAAGAGAACCAAGTCTAAACCATGGTATCTCTTCAGCTAGTCTTGACCAATCATAAATGTACGGGATTTCGTTGCTAACTTCATGTAAGCCAACAAAAATATGTCATCACTAGGACGTGTAAAACCTTCATATGTTTACCCGTGGGCTATTTACTGGCGTATTTTAAGTTTTAAAACTTAACGCGAAAATCTTGCAAGCTTGTGTTAACCACAGACCTTATTTCAGGCATCAAACCAAAACACATTGAGAAGAGGGAACAAGAAGTGCTAAAATGCTAGCTCACTTCAGGTGTTTAGGTCTTTTCGAGCTAATCGTTAACATATCTATTCTCTGGGTGATTGTTAGAGTGATGTTCAGAAGGTGAGTCGGGTTTCCTTCACCTCATCTGTCTTTGTTTTCCCCCCACACACACGCCTGGTGTTGACCTTGGCTCTGAGCAGACCTGCTGCCTGACCTCACATGTCGAAAACCTTCCTGTCCGACTTAATGGATCGCCTTACGTTTCAGACGCTGAAAGGGAACAACAGTGGGGAGGAAAGAGGCAGCAGAGAAGAGAGGGGGGTTGAAGTTAAGACGAGAGACGAGATGAAAGACAACATTTTAGCTTGTAGGCCGCGGGGAATGACAACAAACACGCAGTGAAACCGGATCTGCAGCCGAGGAGATCTGCCTGTCAGCTTTCTACCAGGAAGCAGAGAGATTTATTTCAGCAGAAAACTGCAACAGGTAGTTTATATACGGAAGGCCGAGGGGACGCATAATAATCATTTCCTACTTCAACCAAAGCTTCTGTTGCTGTGTCACCACTGGGCGATCGTTCTGCAAATACATCCGTCACGTCCTCATGGTTTCTGATCTGGAAAATATTTATTGAGATCAAGTACATTTCCCCGTTGCGGGACAAAGGAATTCAGATTTTCTGATGAAAGTAGTACGATTACTTTCCGATAAATAAAATAATGCTTTAAAACAGAGGTGGGAGACGTACCCAGATATGGTACCTGAGTAAAAGTATTAGTACTCAGATCTTGTACTTGAGTAAAAGTAGAAGTACTCAGATCTTGTACTTGAGTAAAAGTATAAGTACTCAGATCTTGTACTTGTGTAAAAGTAGAAGTACTCAGATCTTGTACTTGTGTAAAAGTAGAAGTACTCAGATCTTGTACTTCAGTAAAAGTAGAAGTACTCAGATCTTGTACTTCAGTAAAAGTAGAAGTACTCAGATCTTGTGCTTCAGTAAAAGTAGAAGTACTCAGATCTTGTACAGCGTGTAGGAATACCCGGTTACAGTAAAAGTCCTGCATTCAAAATGTTCCTCAAGTAAAAGTAGAAAAGTATTCTCATCAAAATATAGTTAAAGTAGCGACAGTAAAAGTAGTCATTGTACAGATTGGTCCATTTCAGAATAATATATATGATATGTTTTATAATGATTGATCATGAAAGTGTTCTCAAAGCTGGTAAAGGTGCAGCTAGTTTGAATGACTTTGTATAATGAGTACTTCAAGCATGTTAGGTTTGATTACTTTCGTACAAATAAAAGTCCTGCATTCAAAATGTTCCTCAAGTAAATGTAGAATCTGTAAAATGGTAACAAAACAATACCACAAAGATGACAAAGAAAGAGGACAGACACGAGTTGATTCTTCACGCTTGGAGACCAGCACCAAGAGAAGACCCTGCTTCTGCGAGGAGCTGCCGGAGCGAGTTTATTTACAGTTCACAAAATACAGGAGTCATCTTTAACAAGTTCCAGCGTTTCACATTAGTCGTCACCTGACAGCGTTCCTCTCTAGTGCTCTCAGTCTGTGGTTCCCCCATCAGGAAACTCCACATGAGCAACAACACAATCTTATTTTAATACTTATTACTCAAAGTAACCGGGTTTCCTTTGTTGCACCTTAGGGGGGCATCCTTCCTGTCGCTTCCTACGAGAATGTTGTAGCTAAAACCTTTTAGTTTTGTATTTTTCAGCATTCAAAACTTAGTATGTGTTTATCTGTATTTGCCTATATTTATATATACTTTTATATATATATATATATATATATATATATATACACGCTATATATTATGTACAATTTCCTCCTCTTTATGGCTTAAAAACGCAATATCACATCTCTATCTGAGGATATCTTTGTGTCAGTTGTGCGTTGATGTACGGCGGCTAACTGAAGGCATGTGTACAAGTCATGTTACTTTATTATCTATTTTAGAACTTATCGTTGTCCCTTACAAATCATAAAGACGATAATATGAATTGCTAGGATGCTGTGCGTTTAAAAAAAAACATAAAACTAAACTGATCTTCTTCCAAAGAGTTTCATTACATTTGTTTTGCCATTAATTAGACATTATATTAGGTGAGTTGGAAAGCAATAATGTTACTTTGAAATGAACATCAGAAGTGAATGGGGCTTGTTCAGGGAAACCCAGGACTTCCTGTGTGCCACTCGGAGACCCCTTTTAAACCATTGGGTGTTTTAAGGACATTTCACACACTAATAATGAAGTGTTCCAGCTGCTTCTTTGCTTCTGAACACGCTGAACAGATCTCAGAAAACAAATTAGGATTAAACTGATCTTCTTCCAAAGCGTTTCATTACATTTGTTTTGCCATTAATTAGACATTATATTAGGTGAGTTGGAAGCAATAATGTTACTTTTAAATGAACAAATATGAATGCTTTCAACCAACCCTAATACAATAATGTAGAACATGTTAAATAAATGTGATTAAATTCAACTTTTCATTCATTTTAGTGAGTTTACAAACACTTTCCAGCGTGAAACTTCAAGTTTGTTGAGTTTTTACATTTCCTAAAGCAAGAGTTTTAATTTGAAAGAAGCACGGACACTTTAGGATGCAGCATTTTCCATAAAACTGGTATGTTGTTTTAGAACAAAAATCTAATTTAAACTTGTACCAGCGTGTGTGTGTGTGTGTGTGTGTGTGTGTGTGTATGTGTGTGTGTGTGTGTGTGTGTGTGTGTGTGTGTGTGTGTGTGTACAGCATATACAATCTGCAGCAGAAACATGTGGATTTGAAAGCACCCGGTGCAGAGATACAGATGACACCACGAAGCTGTAAATATGTCATGTGTTCATTCAAAGAAACCTTAAAAGTCACGTTTTAAAACCCACCTTAAAAATGTTATGACACAGTTTTGAGGTGAAATGGTCCGAGTCGCAGCACCACTTCCAGTCACTGCAACACACACATTCATCCACACACACACACACTTAAGTAATCTCATGATTCCTCGTTTCCTTTCAAATACACGGCCTTTCCTATGTTTTAGCTCCTTGTTATTGTACACCAGCACACTTATTCAAACACATTTCATATTCCTGATGTTAGAACTTCCTGTTTCCTCTCAGTTGTATAACGCTGGTGTTGGGCGCCCCCTTGTGGTCAGAAGGTAATATGGTGTCATACTTTCAAGAGGTGCAACGTGTGCAGTTAAGAGCGTTTATGAAGAACTTTTGTTTCGTCTCTGAACCCAAAAACACTCGTAGTAACTGTACGTTTAAAATGCTGACCTCTCATACAGTGTAGGATGTTTTGCACTTTTTATCCTTTGGTTGGAAAAATGCTATCATTTCTACACAATACATTTGAAGTGAGTGTTAACACTTTCAATCAAAGCTCAAATCAGCACTTGTTTTGATTAAATCCAATGCACTTGAGTTCAGGGACGAATCAAAACATGCACTTAAACATGTCCTAATTCAGCTTTTCTATTACGGTGCGTTACCTTTTATGAATAATAAGCTTTTTGAAAGCCAATACAATGAGTTTGTCAAGTTGTTAAAGCATCAGAAGTGAATGGGGCTTGTTCAGGGAAACCCAGGACTTCCTGTGTGCCACTCGGAGACCCCTTTTAAACCATTGGGTGTTTTAAGGACATTTCACACACTAATAATGAAGTGTTCCAGCTGCTTCTTTGCGTCTGAACACGCTGAACAGATCTCAGAAAACAAATTAGGAGTGAGCTCGACGAATCTAAAACTCTGGAGCTTTTTAAAAGTCAAAGTTTAAACCTTATCGGTACAGTGCCATGACCCTCTGCTGTTCCCGATGCTTGTTTATTTATCTCCGTCTCCCCGCAGCCGTCTCTCGTGCTGCCGCTTGGTGATGATGTATTTGAAGAACTCGTAGACGGACCAGCTGATGGCGGTAGACGGCATCTGATAGATAATCCTCGCTTGGACGCCTTTGAAAAACGCCGGCACGCCTCCCATCCTGTACACAGTCCGACACGCCTCGGTCAAACCGGAGATATGTCGACTCCCAGCGGCCGCTCCCACCGCTGCTGTCGCTGCCTCCGCCTCTATCACGTGGATAGCCTGAGCTTCTTGCGTGTTGAGGAGGGTTTTACAGACGTCCAGAGGTGTGGTGACGGCGGCAGCGATGGCTCCGGCGAGAGCTCCGGACACCACGTGAGAGGAAGGGTTGTACTGTCTGTGGGGGTTCAGGAGCTCCTGCAGATACTCGTACGTCATGAAGTGAAGCGCCTGGAAGGGCACGTTCATGGTGAGCTGCGTGGTGTAGCTGCGGTAGAAAGCCGCCGGGCCGTCGTGTCTCCACAGGGAACCCATGCAGTGAAGAACGCCTCGATACGGAGAGTTAAACATCTGCATTCGCTGCTTCACAACTGCAGGGAGACGAGAGAATTAGAAACCGTAGCAGCAATTTGAAATGAAATAAACTAGTTATAATAGAACAGGGAGCGGGGAAATGTTATTTTGTTAAAAACAATGCATCATATATTTCTTCGGTGGATGTGTTGCAGTAACATGTGGAGCCACAGGTGAGTCTGTAGCTCCCCCTAGTGTCCAGATGGTGCAACAACACCCTCAGAGAATGATTGTGTAAGTGTCTTTGTAGAATAAGGTTATGAACGTCACCAGCAGGATGTCTTCACGGTTTATTTGATGTTTCTCACACCTCAGGCCATAATGATTAGAAGTGATTATTCTTATTAAGGTTCTCTCTGTGCTTTTATTTAAAGTGGACCTATCATGCTATATTTGAATAATATAGTGTAGGACCATACCTATATAAGGCATATTTAGACTTTTTTTTTCTTCAAAATACCAAACAGATCATGCATTTTAGCCATGCCTCATTTTGCTCAATTTGACATTTTTTAGCTGTGTTTGTAAGGGCAGATTCAGTGAGCAACAACACCATCTAGAGGCCTGGCATATGTACTACAGCGTCTCCAGCGCTTTCGAACGGCAATGGCCGTGGCTGTCTCGTCCTGATTGGTGGAGTTGGCCCAATAGCCGTAGCGCCACCGTCCTGACGTCAGGACAGTGTTCAAATCTGGATCAGTTTTTATCAGATCCGTTGCAGCCCCTTTTTTAGAGATTTGGGTATGGAGGAAAATAGAGAGGGTTGTGTTTTCTGACACTTGGTGAGTTCCCTGGAACACCGGGGACACATATTCATGTATAAAAGACGTACACAAGTGCATTTTGCATGATAGGTCCCCTTTAAATAGTTGGTATGTAAGCTGAGATATACACAGATATCTTGCTACATGATTAAGGTGAGATTATTGTCACCCATGGAGAGATGGATGTTATATGCGCAGTAACTACTCTGCACACATTTGAGTACGTATGCGGGTGTATGTATGTTATGTCTGAATGTTTAAAAAAAAAATGACAATTCACGGTGCAGAACATAGAGCATGTGTGCTTGTGATGAAATAAGTAAAGCAGTGTTTTTACCTTCTGCTGGGTTCATGATGGCGTCGTGCAGCACGGTCGCCATGCAGCCCGCCGCTCCTACAGAGAAACAGTGGAGAGGAAGTTAACGCCTGAAAAAAACTCCTCCATCGTCACCGAAATGACATTCAGATTCTAATTTCGTGTATAAATGAATGCTTTTCTAATATGCATCTAACACGTTTAACATTTAAAAAAAATGAGGGAAGACTTGAAGAATTGTAGTATACGAGCACATCAGCAAAACATCATTTTAAGAACCATAATAGAATTTGTGAAGTACAATCGTAGTCTCATTTATCCAGTCGTTTCTATACTTCCCATTTCCCTATAGTGAGGGTTTTTAGTGTGAATGCATGGGGAGTAGTGAGCATACAAACGGATAAATGACACTTGTATTTTACTGAACGAACAGATTGTTTATAAATGAATTATATATTTGTTTCAAGTTTCTTTCAGGCCACCAGTTTAGTGAGGAGACAGAGGGGTGCAAGTGGTGCGGGGTCTGAGCCCCAGTATATGGGCCGTTATCTCTACCAAATTAGCTTTGAGTCGCCAATAAAGTGAATATTTTAATGTAGTTTTGTTGTTGTTGAACGCAACCGTGATTCCCTTCAAATTCATCAAGACTTTTCTCTGTTTTTGGATTCTCCCTTCACCATAGGAGAACAATAACGTTTTTTCAATATTCAAGGTAAAACTGAGTACGTAACTGATACAAAAATGAAACGTAACGTTGTAGGTGTATAAGTATTTCTTTAAAGTGGACCTATCATGCTATATTATAATAATATAGTGTAGGACCATACCTATATAAGGCATATTTATACTTTTTCTTTTCAAAATACCAAACAGATCATGCATTTTAGCCATGCCTCATTTTGCTCAATTTGACAATTTCTAGCTCTGTTTTTGCAAGGGCTGATTCTGTGAGAACAGCACCATCTAGAGGCCTGGCATATGTACTACAGCGTCTCCAGCGCTTTCGAACGGCAATGGCCGTGGCTGTCTCCTCCTGATTGGTGGAGATGGCCCAATAGCCGTAGCGCCACCGTCCTGACGTCAGGACAGTGTTCAAATCTGGATCAGTTTTTATCAGATCCGTTGCAGCCCCTTTTTTAGAGATTTGGGTATGGAGGAAAATAGAGAGGGTTGTGTTTTCTGACACTTGGTGAGTTCCCTGGAACACCGGGGACACATATTCATGTATAAAAGACGTACAAAAGTGCATTTTGCATGATAGGTCCCCTTTAAGTAAGTGCCATAAAAGTAGTTGCTTGCATTCTTTCAGATGTGTAATTAAGTAGATTATCTGTTTATACATAATTTAGAATCAGTAATATTTTTGTATATTAATTTGACACTGTTACATGTTTGTATTATTGTTTTACACATTCCCAAGTGAAGGAGTTCAAGTATCTCGGGGTCTTGTTCTCGAGTGAGGGGACAATGGAGCGTGAGATGGGCCGGAGAATCAGAGCTGGTTGATGTGGCCAGGGAAAGGAACGTTTGGGGCTCTCTGCTGGAACTGCTACCTCCGCGACCCGACCACGGATAAGCGGGAGAAGATGGATGGGTGGACATTCGAAATAAATCTAATCAAAATCAAATCATAATATCTAATAAAGTTGACTTTGACTCACCGTTAGCGAAGTGGCTGTTGGCTCCGGGGTGAATGGCGTCGCTGAGCGAGAGCTTGATCTTCTCGTAGCAGGCGAAGTAGAGAGCGTGCGCAGGCCCCGCCCCCACGGCCAGCACGTTCACGCCTCTGATTGGCCGCCACACGCCCTCCGTCCGCACGATCTGCCGCAGCCCGTCCATCACGTTCCGGTAGCGAGCGCCGGGCTCCGGGTGGAGGCTCTGCATCCGGGTCTGAAGAGAGAGAGAGGGACAGAAACATTTATACATTTGATATTGACCTCAATTTGATGCATTTTCTTTACAGCAGCATGTAAACTAGGCATTGCATGAAATACAAATATATTTTGTTATGTTATTTTTATTATTACAATTTTGTATTAGTGTGTGCTAGGGCTGTACCCGAATATCCGAATATTCGTTCGTTGGAGTACTATTCAGGTTTCAATTTCGTTATTCGGATATTTTTTGTTGAATTAATTGAAAACTCCAACATCAACGTAAGAGCTTGTGCCTCTTCGGGGGGTGCCAACACTTAACCATAAACGTTATCGTTTAATATATGTAGATATGACTTTTCCTCCGTTAATCTCCGTCACGTTGTTTCCATAGCAACAACAACTTACTGTCAACAGCGCTAACTCTCCTTCAAAATAAAAGCATGTCCATACGAAATAGGAAGCCAAGCCAAATTACACTTAAGACGTATACAACTGCAACGAAAGTAACAAACACAATGCGATATCCTTTTCAATTCCAAAGAACACAAATTGGGTTACATTAACAAATAACTATAAAACAACAATACTGTAGAATAACAAAATGAATGCTGTGAATAAACCGAAATACACGTGTTGAAGTGGTTCGCTGCTGATTACCACCACCCCCCCCACCCGCCGGCCGAATATTCGCTGCTGATTACTACCGGATATCCGGAGCCCGAAAAATTGTATTCGGGACAGCCCTAGTGTGTGCTTGTTTTTGCACAACAGGTTTATTCTGCCGTTATATTTATATATTTTTTAATTTGTAGGGTCTTCTTTGTTGTAACAATGTAAATTACCCCACTGTGGGACAAATAGAGTATTTCTGATTTAAAGTTAAGAACTATCTTAATAAAACTTAATCAAGCTGCACTATTCCACATGCTCACTTTATTTTATAACTATTTTTCTTTTTGTATTGCTCTTGCTATCTGTATTGTTATTATGTTACATTGTTGGAGAAGCCTGTGAAATAAGATTTTCAACAACATAATTACTCTGTAGCTATGTCAGTTTGACAATAAAGAACCTTGAACCTTGATTGATCATGTAAGAGCAAACTGCAAATGACCAGGACAGGTTGCAATTTCACCAAATGTCAAGTTTGTGTCAGTTTTCTACATTTCTCTTTCTGATTCCCACATTAACTTCAGCCCACGTTTATGTAAAGTGCTTAGACAGAAACGACTGCAGTCAAAGTCGCCAACCACAGACCACGAGTGAGGACTCAGTGGTGCAGACAGGAAGTGGAACAAAATAAACCCCAGCCTACCACTTGCATTCAGACTCTGTATCTTAGGAGAGTGTAAAACCTGTTAAAGGTGGGGTAGGTAATTCACTTCAGAAACACTTATTATATTCCATGGAATGCTCTTAACATCCCGATAGCAATGAATATATTAAATGCTTTGACAATAAATACATAAAAAAATGTCATCTGTGGAAGCCGTAGTACTGTAAAAAGCACGACCAATCATTTTAGCCGGCCCGGCTAAAATAACTGGATGGCCTACCTGCCTGTCAGCTTTCCATCTGTGCACAAACTTATCTCGTGCCCTCATTGGTCATGTGCACGTTCGTGTGTGTTGGAGGAGGGGCTCTGTAAGGAAGTCTGAAGGAAGTGGCAGATTCTTTTCGGTTGCATACTTTCAAATTCTAGCGCACTCGAGCTGGTTTCTCCATTCTTACCTACCCTACCTTTAAGGTTAGATTCAGTGGTGTAAAGTAACTAACAGTGTGCGAAAAAGTACACGTCCCACCGTCCGGGACGTGTTATTTACAATATCGGACAAGTAGATCTTTCAATTGACTTGTCCGGCGGACAAGTGACGTTTTTAGCCCTCATTTATTGACAAATTATAGATAAATTCAGTTTTCAAAAGGCAGAACTCGTTCGCAAATTGTCCGTGTCCGCCATTGTTCGTTTAGAAATGTTAGTTTCGGTTCTGCTTGTCGATTCCCAAGGAAATGCATCTCGCCGCTTTCTGTACTGTTAGACGGGGGCGGGGCGGGGCGGGACGTGTAGCACAGTGGCAGGGTTGGGAAGCAAAACTCGGTTCCGAGTAGGAATAAATAACCATTGTCCGGTACCGGGATTAATAAGAGTTGTGAGGACAGTTGTGAGGACAGGAGGCGAGGCCGAGCCCCGCGGACCGCAGCTCTCTCTCTCTGCGCTCCGGATCATCTGATCGCTGCACGGTGCAGTTCAGCGTCTCTCTCTCCCTCTCTCTCTTTCTACACACAGCGGATCCGCTGCCAGTTTAACAGCCTCATCTTTGTCAAACTTTCTTATGTTCTTTCTCTAACACGTAATGAAGGTTATTAAGCGTTTTAGCTCCTATGATGTTAATATTGACCGCCATTTCCTTTATGAAGTAAATCAGCCTCCCTGTCTGTGTCCTCGCGCTGTCCTCACATCCCCCGACCCCCAGACTCGGAGGAGCACAGGGATGTCAGTATTGTTTATGAAGCAGGGTATAGAAAGTACATTATTGAAATGAAAATACTATTTATTTACTTTTACAAACAGTGAGCAGCTGGGCAGCTGCAGCATGTGTATTGCAGGACATGTGTAAGCGTGCAAGCGTCTTTGAGTTGTAGAAAAGCGCTAGGCCTATAGGCTATAAATATAATGTATTATTATTATTAGGCCTATGTGTTGGACATGTGTGGTTGGACTCTGTCTCACAGGCAGGTTGCAGTGTAACATCAGAGGAGACTGGGCCAATTGTACATTCTCAAACTGTACCACATAGAACTAACTAAACAATGCAGAGATTATTTTTATATAATTTTATTCAATAACCGTAAGAAATTAAACAGTCTGAAGTGATTTGTAAATAAGAATACAGATTTGACTTAATGTTTTCATAAATATATTTTTCTCCCAGTTTGTCATGGGACTTATTTTTACCCTCTCAAAGAACCGGAATCGAGAACCGAAAATAACCGGAATCGAAAAGCAGAACCGGAATCGTTAAAATCCAAACTATACCCAACCCTATGTGTGATGCAGTAAAATCTTACCGCTCACTTACGTTAGCGGTGTCGTAAAAACCGTGGGAAAATGTAAAATACGATGGCGAAGAAGATTCCAGTGGCCCCAATTTTTGTCCATTCTGGACAAGTGAAAAATGTATTCGGACAAGTAAATTGCCAAACTCACTTGTCCATGGACAAGTACTCTCTAAAAACTTTTTCTCACACTGAACTAAGTACATTTACTCAAGCAAAATGTTGAGGTACTTTACTTGAGCATTTCCATTTCCTGCTCCATTAAAGTTATTTAATACGGCATACAAAGTCATTCAAATTAGCTGCGCCTTTGATAACACTTTAATGATCAATAATTAGAATCAAAACATACGATATGTATTATTCTGAAATGGGCCAATCTGCATAATTAGTACTTTTAGCACTTTAAGTATATCTTGATGCCAATCATTTTACTTAAGTAGCATTTTGATTACAGGACTTTTACTGAGTATTTTTACACTGTGGCGGAGGCTCAGTCACTGGTACATTTTTATATACAAAGCCATGTTAGGGAAACTTCCATCCTACATCTGCTCCCTGATCTCACGGCGAATTGTAAGTGGCTACTGCCTGAGATCGAATGCTGTCGTTTTATTAAATGTGCCAACTGCTAGGACTGTCTTAGGGAAGATAGCATTTAGATGCGCAGCTCCGCTAACTTGGAACAGTCTGCAAAAGGAATGGAAACTGAGCAATTTGGTTCCACTAAATGTTTTTAAAGCAAGGATAGATGCTATCCAATCGGAAACTGTTGGAACCTGTAAATGTTACTAGCTATGTAAACTGTAGTCGCTGTAAATATGCTGTATGATAGGGCTGTGCAATTAATCGTATTTTAATCTCGATTACGATTTTGGCTTGCAACGATTACGAAAACAATGTAATCGAAATAAAACGATTATTATTTTTATTAAAAAAAAAGAAAAGAAAATGTAATATTTTATTGGTTTTTCAGTTGAATTATACTTAAACTTCAGGGTAATCAACTGTTAAAAACATACTGTTCAAATTTCTTTTTCAATATATGGGTGTTTTCAAAGTAAATGGATAATCGTTTTTAATAACCGTGATATCAATTAGACCAAAATAATCGTGATTATGATTTTTGCCATAATCGCACAGCCCTACTGTATGATGTCCTTTTTGTTTTTCTGTTATGTTTATATGTATTCATGTGGAACCTACTTGCAGCAGGTCACCCTTGAAAAAGAGATCAATGATCTCAATGGGATTCACCTGGTTAAATAAAGGTTTGAAATTAAATGAAACTGTGGTACATCTACTTTAACTTAAGTATAAGACCCGAGTACTTCTTTCACCCTTAGATTTATGATTCCACGTGTCTGTTATCTAATGCAGGGGTTCCCAACCCCCGGTCCGCGGACCGGTACCGGGCCGCAGAGGTGTTACTGCCGGGCCGCGAAATAGCTGTGAGTTTATTGTAATATTTGCAGAATTATAAATATATAAAAATATTTTATCATAATATTTTTTCAAAAAGTGTTTAATTTTCGCACCTATGCCACCAGTCATATTATTTCATCCAGTAGCTAGTTAATCTTTCACCAGAAAACCGTTGAAAATGGCTTTTATGATGAGGGATTCGGCGGCTCAGCCTTATAAGGTCTCCTCTCGTGCGCACGAGCATGTTACCGGTGCGCCAAGTAGGAAGAGGAGCGCACAGGAGACAACCGTTTGATTGCAGACTGTTATGTTTATGTGGGGAAATGGTGGTGCATACATTATTTGAGATATATTTCAAACTCGGACTTCATTTTAAGGACATGTCGGCCAGGGGTGTAGAGCTATTTGTTTAAGCACCGGATTGGCAAAACAGAAGAGTAAACCAGTCTGCCTTGATCTATGAATTAATGTCCGGGACTCTCGGACCCGCAGCTGCCCGCAGCTGCTTTATAGACGGAAACCCTCCTTCAC